TTTCATGAATGGTGCGCGCGCGCCGGATTTTTAAAACGCTACAACTCGGCGAAAAATTGACGTAGCGACACAAGCCAAAAACCAATCTTCTTCGTTTCGCATCCCGCAGATGTCTACGTTCAGTATGTATGCTCTTATCGTGAAACTTACATACGACAATGGAATAAAAAGTAAAATGTGAAATATAAATTATACGTATAACTGCTAATTGGCTAACAAACTATATTAGACTGTATAGCAAGTAAATTAAAGTTTGACTTTTTATCATTATTCATCCCATTTTATTGACATGCTTTATTTCTATTAGCACTTTGGTATAATTAAATGTGTCTAGTTTTCTATTAAACTTGTATGCTTTTTGCCGACAAAATTTGTAGCACACACTGTTCTGGATATTCATTAGACAATTATTTAAACATTCTTTTGTACATACAAGATTGCTCCGTTTATATCGGACAATCAATACGTTTGCACTCTGATCAAATTAAACTTTGTATTATTCTAGTTATAAATAAACTAATACTTCTCTTTTTTATTAGAATAAAAACAGACCAACTTGTAAAGGCCCTCCACCACCCCCGCCGATTTTGATCGGCGGTCCTCTTTTCTTTACGATTTGGTTTTCTCGTGTTTATTATTTATTTCATATTACTTATAATTTACTTTAAAATGCATACAACATTATAAAATAAATAATTACATTATAAAATTAAAAATAAATTATCTCTACAATACAATTATTTTACTTGACGTTACATATGAAATATTCGGTATGCACACAGTAACACGAAATTCTTGTCAAGTAAAATATGTGTCTATTGTGTATATTTATCAAACTTTTTAATAATCATCGAATTATACAATATTTTTACAGTTTATTTTATTTCATTTAATTTATGTATGTCATCGCAACCAAAAAGATCGTTAATAAATTTATTATTTCTGTATCCTGGCCGTATTCCAACTTATAGCTCTACCTATTCATTTTCTACCTATCCGTGTTTCAACATAATAAACTTACAAATCTTTAATTAACCGCGACGCGATTTTCTAGAGATTTAACTTGAAGTTTACCGCGCCCGCGATTTAATAGGGGTTTCAGTCTCGCATATATGCGAGAATGTATGTACCATATGTAGAAGCATAACCCACCCGAATTGTAACAAATCAAGAGAAATCAAAGTATACTTCGTACAGCACCTTACTTAGGCCTTACAGCACCTTACACTCCATCAGAGTGGCCAATATTGACCACTTACCTCATCGTATCTAGTCCTTCGTTGGGCCAGATTGGACATACCTTTCGTTGCTCCTGGCCATACAGTCTGGTCATTTTGACCAGAGATCAGGAAGGAAGAAAACTCCTTCTATATAGTCGGTTTATCACCGACAGATATTTCGTACGGTTCGAACTATATGCGAGCGCCGATCGTGTAAAAAAAATGCACGAGCAGGAGAGAAGTTATTTAATAAAGAAACTTAATTTTAAAAAATTTAATTTCTAAAACTGATCAAAGTGTAATTTTATTTCCGTTTTCTAAAGTATTGACCGTATCTTCGTGACTCGATCTTTGAATATAAAATTCAAGCACATACATATAGAAAAAAAGTTACTTTGCGTTATAGTTATTTTAATTATATTTCGCGATAAAAAAATTAAAATTTATAATATAAATAAAATTAATTAATAATTTCTTGAACATGTTCTGAAAAACTAATCGCGAAAACCGACCGCGAAAATCGACCACAAAAATACGAGATGCGTGTGACTATATGCATGTATTTATGCTAAACGCATCTTGAGAGTATCGCGATACATGCAGAATAAATGACGTAAGATCCAGAAAAAAGGAACTTGCCGCACGAGTGACACCGATATAATAATTGAATGTTACAGTTAATTGATAATCTCAAAGTATAAAAATAATTTCAAATTTATATAAGTATTCTCGTCACAATATATTGGAATCTTACGTCATATTATTTTACTTTATACATATATCAAATCTTTAATTAAAAATGGATAGGCTACGAGAAATTAGTTGGCCGAATACATCGATAATATTCGTGGTATTTCGCGTAATTTCTATGATGTAGTTCAATGATTTTAACATGAAACATGAGCTCAACATATACTCTGATTCGTAGAGCTCTATGAAATCACTTCTCTTCGATAAATAAAATATATTAAATAAAACGTCAAATTATTTGTAACCTATCCATTTTAACGTAACGGATCTACGAAATGGATCGATCTACAATCTACGATATAAAAATGTAGATTCCGTTACTGTAATAAAAAACTTTTCACTCACCGAGATGCGCAGCGGCGGAGTTGATATCTGCGTTGATTCTGCAATGGCGCCCGATGCGTCCTCCTCCACTCAAGTGTCTTCCTCTCAGGTATCGCTGTTTCAGCTGCCCTCCAACGCACTCGCAAATTTACACTTCCGTTTGTAAAGTCACTTGTCACTGTCACTGTATCCAAATGCCACTTCTTCGGTTTTCACTGTGTCCGATTGTCTTTCGCTGAGTTCGATTGTCACTGTTCGATTAAGGCCTTCACACATAAAATTCCGTAAGGACGTAAAACGTAAGCATAAGAAAATCGACCAATCACAGTCGAGAACGTAAGGCAATAACGCAAGCAGTAGCAAATCCAGTCTGTTGATTTTCTTACGCTTACGTTTTACGTCCTTACGGAATTTTATGTGTGAAGGTCTTAATGCGAGTCGCAGAGTCGTAGTCGTAAGAATAATCGACTGCGATTGGTCAATTTCGTCAGACACATAAGAATTGACCAATCATAGTCGACTATTCTTACGACTACGACTTTACGACTTCTATGTAGACGAGGCTTCATATCGTCGCACCATGATACCCGCACAAATCACTGACACAAATCGCGGGAATTCAACGATCGCACGATGATATCGATCGTTGATTATTCACAGAGAGCGATCGCGGTTTCTTCCCGCACTTGTCGCGAACGCGTATCAAGAAAGAATAATACGATATGCGAAGCGGCGCGAGCACAACCGATCAGTTCAACTGTCGCCGCGTGAATGATATCCTGCGTACGGCGCCGTAAACACCGAAAAACCCGAGCGCGGATTCCAAGAAATGACGTATACCCATACAGCACATGATATTCGGAGAACGTTCTAAGAATGTTCTAGAATATTCTAGAACATTCTTAGAACGTTTCCCGAATATCATGTGCTGTATGGGTAGCGCCGACACACTCGCGAATTTACACTTCCGTTTGTAAAGTCACTTGTCACCGTCACTGTATCCAAATGCCGCTTCTTCGGTTTTCACTGTGTCCGATTGTCTTTCGCTGAGTTCGATTGTCACTGTTCGATTACATCGTCGCACTGATACCCGCACAAATTACTGACACAAATCGCGGGAATTCAACGATCGCACGATGATATCGATCGTTGATTGTTCACAGAGAGCGATCGCGGTTTCTTCCCGTACTTGTCGCGAACGCGTATCAAGAAAGAATAATACGATACGCGAAGCGGCGCGAGCACAACCGATCAGTTCAACTGTCGCCGCGTGAATGCGATATCCTGCGTACGGCGCCGTAAACACCGAAAAACCCGAGCGACGTACCCATACAGCACATGATATTCGGAGAACGTTCTAAGAATGTTCTAGAATATTCTAGAATATTCTAATACGATACGCGAAGCGGCGCGAGCACAACCGATCAGTTCGACTGTCGCCGCGTGAATGACCCCGCGTACGGCGCCGTAAACACCTCTGCCGAAAACAGAGAGCGCGGATTCCAAGAAATGACGTAGCGCCGTGAACACCTCGGTCGAAAACAATTTTTTGTGTCGAACCGTTTGTCGCGACGGATGTACCGCGTGTCTTCGCATTTCTCATCGTAACGCGATCATTTCCTATGAGAATCTCGATTATCTCCTAAGCGCGTTGTCCGGGAGACTGTTTTGCGCGCTCTTACGCCAAGCTTACTCCA